TAATAATTTAACATTATTCTTTTAACTACTTATATTCTCTTATAATAATAATAATAATGGTAATAATAACAATACAAGATTTAAATGTATTGCTACTTTCCATTACAAATATTATTAATTACTTTATTATATAAACATGCGTTTATTAGAGCATAACATGGAAATGTATAAATTAAGAGAACAGAGAGAGAGGGAAGGGGAAGGGAGAATGCGTGAAACTGAAAACTATTGCTCAAACGAAAAAAAATCAATTTCTTTATTCTTCTTTCTGTTTTTTTTTGTTGTTTTTACATGAAAATGTACTTAGAATAATTTGTTACGCTTGAAGAGTTATTATTATTATTATTATTTTTGTTATTTTCTTCAAGTGTATCTGTTTTATAAAGTGGTAGTCGATGATAGTTGATAGGATAACTTGAACTTAGATATTGTTCTATCTAGTACTTATCAGAAAGATGTACCTGTAATCTAATGAATGTCCGATTAGCAAGAAAGCTAGATTTAGGATTCACCTAGACTAGTTGCTACATTGCAACTTGATCGATGGTATTTGATATGTATTAAAGACTTGACAAACATGACATTGGTTACTTCCAAGTGACTAATCAACTGTAAATATATCTTTCATTATTAGTTCCTCTTTGTTGCCATAGTTACTAACTTGTTTATTTAAATTTTCTTGTAAAGTTCATATGATTTGTATCAAATTTAGTACATTACAAATCAAGTTTGAGAGTATGAACTACTTAAAAAGTATTAGTTCGTGATGAAAATTATATTCAGATGACAATAATCTTTGGAGAGGATTTCATTCTTTCTCTACAAACATGGTGGAGCTAATATTCCACTTCTGCTCCTAAAATGTTTTATTTTCTCGCTATGGATACAGGTACTTACTTTTAATGCTGGAAAACTACATTCACTGTATCACGTATCAAATATGGAGTTAGGAATGACAAGACCAATAATTGGCCGATAAATATTATTTCAGCTTTCTTTAGGATTGTGGAAAAAAAGTATTGGTGATGAACTCTCCAACTTTCTACTCACTGAAAACTTATCACTGATTCTCAACATGGCTTTCCTTAATTCAATCTTGTGTGACCTGACATTTTGACTTCTCTGGTTTAGTCTTTACATAATGTAACCGAGGATATTTAGTTTTAGTGCTGTACTTCGGCATTTCTAAGATACATGACATAGTTAACAACTAGCTTCCTATGGGCAAAATAACATATTACGTGGTCAAAATCCCTATGCTTGCCTGGTTTAACTCTTCCCTAAGCCACCAACGCCAAATAGTTAAAATTAACCCCTATTTGTTGGTTGCTATCCTGATCAAAAGTGGTGTAATACAAGGTAGTATCTTGGGCCCATTGTTCTTTTTTAGTCTATATAGATGACATTTGTGATTCCGTTTGTATAAGTAAGCCATTCTGCTACATCAAGATGATCTCAAAGTAGTGGCTTATTTGCTCCTTATGAGCTGAACAGTATGCGAAATCGCATCATTATAAAACTCAACAAAGTATTTCGGTGGTGCTCAAAATGGCTAAATATGGATGGATATGCTTTGGTAATAATTCACTCAACCAAGAGTTTACCACAGATATCGAGGTGTTTTCCAAGTAACATACAGTAATGGACTTAGGACACATGTATTCTTACAGTTTGTCCTTCTCAGAACAGGTCCTGAAACAGACCTCCAAGTTTCAACCTCATCTGGGCTGCATAATTTGTAACCTCTATGACAGTGAGTTACAAATTTGAATGAATAAAGTATTTGTTCCACCACTTCTAAAATACTGTATGTTTATTCTAAGTAGTGTTAGTATAAAGGATAAATTTAGGTGGGAATCCGTTCAGAGACGATTTACGCTTCACATTCCAGGGACTAATTGTACCTAACATTATAAATCCAGATGCAATAAACTTGAACTGGACTCTGTATGGAAGAGGAGACTCAAACTAAATTTAATATTTTTCTTCAGAATACTCAATAAACTAACTTTTGCAATCACTGAAGTAATTCAATGTTCAGAACCTCCTAGCTACAGCATCCGATTTCCATTAGTGAAACAATCTCATTCTGTAATTATTATTTCCAGAATATGTTATTATTATAAGAAACCGTTTAATAGAATAATATTCCTTAGTTGAATAGTAATAAGTTTACAGATATATTCTTGAATTTTTGGGGAAGAATTCAAAATGATGGTGTACACTCAAGTTAATCGAGAGAGATTACTCACTGACCGCAATGAAAGATAGTCTCACTGAACTGCAAAAAATACTCCATTTCGAAATGTAACTCAATAGTACAGTTCTATAGTGCTTGTTATTGTGTGATAAGAGATGTGTGTATTGTTTCGATTATTGAAAACTGGTAAGAAATAGCCAACAAATGTCTTTTGATTTTCAAAAACTTTACAGTCAATTCTATTCAGTGATACAAACTTTATTCTTTGTAAGCAATTGTTTCAGTTTTTACACTGATAACTGACTGATATCTTTATAGACAACAGTAGGATATACGATCAGTAATTCATCCAGTTAGGAGCTGGTCTAATCTTTGCATCCTAGTATTCAGATTAGTGTTTAAACAAGTTGGTGAGTTTATGGATTAAGTCGGTAAATGGATGACATGTTGAGGTTTAACGTGAAAGGTATTGAAATCGAGTTCGAATCTGAACATTACCGATGGGATGCGGAATATGCCTTTGATGAATCTTAAGTAACATGAAACATGATTCTTGGATTCTGCGGCTAGCCTCAATCCATTAGTGTAATATATGCAACAGGGAAAGTGAACTTTTAATCAAGCATAAATTTGGTTTTCATAGTTTATATTACTATTTGATCTTAGTTGTACAACCAGGGGAAACCAGTAAACACCGGACAGCCGCTTCATTCTAGTATGAGACTCTTCAACATTGTTCATCCATTACTAAATTTCCTAGGTTACATCCGTGTTGCGGTCGTGGATGTAATCTGATGAGGATTTCTATTCAGGGATGAAACAACCTTCTAATTTTTTTCTAGTTTCCAATGATTATCTGACTAAGATCGGTCTGTACTGTTAGCTATGAAATTCCAACAATGTCCACAAACCTACAAAGTTTTTCATAACTCATGTTTAATAAATAATGATGGTTATTTATAACAAAACAGTATAAAAACCACTTAAGTATGATATTCTTAATGAAATTTAGTTATCCTTTAAATATCAGCTTTTATTTCTTAATGTTCCTTTGGTTATTAATATGTAGCAGATTATCAGTAATATGTATTTCCAAGTTTGATCTCATTTACTAAATGAACTTCATCTTGGCATTATAGCTGATGTCAGTTAGTGATGAAAACCCTAAATCTAATTCCTAAACTTAACTATCAACTGTAAATCATAATTCTAATATCTCACACTGGTTTATAACTTTCATTTGGTCCTAGTTATCAGGTGGACAATCTCAAGGTCAATCTAGAGTCGCTCATAGGTCGTCCATAAATTATAGTCTCACCAAATATCCTTACTTACTTGTAAGATTTCCTGATATAGATATCAAGGTAACTGGGAATAATACGAAACCATAAATCAATTTTTAGTTGAAATATATGAATCAATTGCAGCGATAAGCAAATAAAGCAAGTATCCAACTCTATAAAGTTCCTTCAAATTAAAAAGATGATTTGAATAGTTGCGTTTTCTGGCGGAATTTTGTTCTCTGAGCTGGATGGTTTGGTCGTGGAGCTTTCATCGTTCTTCTGGACGACATCATCAGCACAAACTTCTATCATCCACCTGAGCTACAAATCTTTTCCACCATCTCAGTTGCGTTTTCTAGCTTAAAGTCTATGAATAGTCAGGACTAAAAAAATCATGCTGTTTATAGGAAGCTGGTTATTGATATAAGACGTGGACTAGGATAGTCGATGATAAGCAGTGATGCATAATGGCTAGGAGTGGAATCCACAATACACGTTTTGTTTAACTCGGGACAAGCTAGTAGCTATCTGAAAACAACAAATAATTGGATAATGAGATGGCGTTTGAAGAGAACAGTATTAGGTTCAAGTTCCGGAGTGGACATCAATTCCACAATAAAGGGACATTCAGCTGAATAATGCCAAATAGGATGAAACGAACTTCATGGATTCCACCATCCATATCTGCTAATAATACTTGTCATGCGAAGTAATGTCGAAGCAATCCTCACAGGATACACATATGTTAATAAGAGACGGATCAATCGCAGTCCTATCAATCGATGTGAGGATTCATATAACCAATACACGATGAATACTGGAACTATGCTTTCATAAAATAAACAATATATGATACATATGCAAACAGGTATACCTTGTTACACTGTATCAGAGGAGAAAGATAGAATTATCAAGTTATATGTCAGAATAGAGTGAGTAGTAACGCGCCTCATGTATTCCACTCCTAGTCACTATCCATCTCTGCTAATAATGCTTGTAATGTAATGCAATACCGAGGCCGTCCGTACAACAACCACATATGTCAATAAGAGACGGATCAATTACAGTCCTAACTATCAATGGGTAGATTCAAATAACCAATACAAATAAATTATAGCTAACGGTTTTTCCAGATTATTCTTTCAAATCTATCTAGATAAAATATGATATAACTTCATTTTAATACATTTTCATTGTTTTTCAGGTATGAAATTATTCTATTTCGTTTGTTTCATAGAAAAAAGGCATTGTGATAGACACGAATGATTTAAACACAATCAAAATGGGAAAACTAAAGTGTGTTATTTTATTCTGCTCAATTCTAATCAGAATAGGGCTATTCATAGGGCTATTATCAATGAAGCCATATTATCATTATAAGTCATTGTTACATAATTCAATGTGTTTGATCACATTATATAAAACAATAAAGTATATGTAATATATACAATGAATATATAAATAAATAATACAATAATGATGATGTTATACTGAAAGAAAGAAAAAACTATGCTTACTTCTTCCCATTCACTAACATAACGAACCAGTCGAGATAATCTTAAAAGTCGTATTAAACTTAAAAGTTTTACAAATCGTAGAAATCTTAGTGCACGGCCTATATTTGAAGAAATAAACAACAATAAAAAATATACTACTGAATAGGGTTAATCTTTTTTTAAAGCTAAAAATTTAATAAATGAACATTTTTATGTGAGGGCCGGATACTGCCTGAGTGCGCGAACCGAGGCAGATGGTATTCTTAGGGGATCACACTACAAGCCTCCTACCTGAAAGTCTGATCTACAAGGTAGTGAAGATGTAATCCTATGGTAACCGGTGGCTGACAATAGGGTCATACGCCATTTGTTTCCTTAGAATCTTGAGGATCATGTGCACTATTGGTTTCCCGACTCTCCTAGGTGGATCCTCCTTATCCACCAATTAGGTTAAAACTCTGGACATTCGCTTTTCGTCCTATTAATTTCGTAAACAACACGCCGGTCGCGAGTAGATAGCGAGTAAGACTTCCCTGTCAGTGGTTGTATGCACGTGGTAATGTGAAAGCATTTCGAGAGGAAGAGCTAAGTCTCCCCGCTCTCGGCCATACCAGAGAAATTGGGGACGATAAGAATTTACTCACCATATATTTTTTTTCACCGCATTATTATCGTCAGATGGGTCTTTTTCAGGAGACTATAAGATTTTATAAAAATGGAATCTCGACTAATATGATAAGAGTTATCAAAATTAAAAATAACATTTTAACGGAACTAAACTTGTCATTTAATAAGTTTATGATTGAATGTGTGTTGGTTCTCATGATGCGCAGTTATAATTTTTACAAAAATATTCAAGAAAGTAACGTGAAAAAGTTAGGAATGAGATTAGGAAGAAGAAAACACAAAATGTTTTTAAGGTAATGACATTACAGCCAGGATAATGCATAAAGAACATCAGTGTACACTGAATTATTGATTCCCGAGCGATAACCAGTAATTGCAATATCAGTTCTGTAAGAGATCAGTCGGTGCGTTAATAGCTAACTGATCATGTCTCAAGATGAAAATCTAGGTGATGCATCACTTTATTAAAGATTTGAACCATACCATGTTGACGAATTCCAACTGACACGAAATCTAGTCCAACAATCTCCTATTAACTAGTCAGAATCATGAACCATGAACAGAAGCTTTGAAACTATTCATTACTACCATCCAAGATATACTTTGTCAAAACAAATAAATAATTTTGATATAAAATGACACTTATAATGTGAATCAACACTTTTGTCCTTATTCACTGTAGTGATTGGTTCTAAACGATGAAATCAGAATTTCTCTGAATTCATTTCCTCCTTACTTTTTAATATTATTTTCCTCTTTCGTATTCTGAGGTTTAAAAGTTTTCAAAGTCGTTCAAAGCAAAATGACATATATAATAATTTATTTCAACATTACACTAATCGGTAATTGTGAAGTAATCATTATTATGATTTCACGTCTTTAGAACTCAAAGAATTCAATTGACCAGGTTTCAGCAGGGTCATTAGGATAAATGACATGACATTGTAATGCAGTTTGCTTGATGTAAGTTGGTTGAAAGCAGCATAAATCCATGAAAATAAGTTTTGTTTTAACTGATATACATGACAAAGGCTTATCTGCAATCTATGACTTGAACAGCCTATTGATCATGTTTGATGTTATGAAAATAGATTAACCGGGTCCCACAAAAATCAATACAACTTTCAGGCTATAAATTCCCTTTTGCTAACACACATCAATTACTATGAATTCAACATGTTTGGCTTTGTTCAAATCTAGTCTACTGGTTTTATGTATTTGAACATGAATTTCAAAACTAATGAAATATAATCAGTATGGAGATTTGTACTATTTTTCACAATTGTATTCGGGAGTCGATCTAAGCAAGACCATCACTAAAATCATGGAGGCATTGGATAGCGGTTTCTCCCTTATATGGGACCCCTGAGCAGTGAACATTCACGTTTTCATACGTGAGACTCGAACCAAGGATCTTTGGTCTCACGCGTGAAGTATCATTCAAGTAAAATAAGACTCAGAATTTTGGTAAAACTCTTATGGCCAGGTAATCTGACTCAACCAAAAACAAATGTTTATCTATAACACGAATTAGTAAATTGGTAAATAACAACAACAACAACAACGACAATATCATAAAGAAAAAGAACTCGATGAAACTTACCAGCGTGAACAAATTGTGTAAAATTTTCATTATCATGTAATATAAGATAAATATAATCCAATGGTAATGAGCTTAATAAATCTAGAAGAAACCATGTTTTCAAATATTGTCGTGCAATTTCCTTAGGATTGAGCATAATTTCATCTGCAAAATTATTCTTTATTATTCCTATAATTTTTATTGTTGTTGTGAAATGGAATAACAAAACAATGAAGGCATTGAAGTGGACAATAAGTTACCATTATACATATACATATATATCACTATTTATTGTGTACGTTATAAAAAGTTGATTATGTTTTGAATCTTTTTATAAATGTTCATTAGTATCAAAAGTGGTTTTGTGGAGATTGTAGTAATTTCAATAGTTGAAATCATGAGTCAATTTTAGCTAGACAACTATGGAAAGCTTGGAAGAATTAGAAGGCCTTTTCGTCCTATTGTGGGACTCCTCAGAAGTGCGCATCCACGATCTCGCCTCGCGAGAGCTTAACCACTTGACTACTAAGCCAATGTTAATTACTTTAATCATTTTGTAATGTTAGTGCATTTTCATAACGGAGTATCATCCCATTAAATGTACTATTTCTCTTATGTATATATTACTGATTAATAATAAGCTTTGTATCGAATATATCATCCATCTTGAAGTAGGTGAAGTGTATGCAGAAATGAAATTTTCTAATTGAATATTTTCCTCTGTTTTGACAAATCTTTAAGTTATATTTAATTCGATAAATCTTTAGTGACCCTAAATTTGACTCCAAGTCGATCGTCGAATGTTTGTTTTCGAAATATACATATCTCCGATTCTCGTATATTATCATCGACTTGAAAGGCGTTTGTGAATAACAGAATTAAATAAGTGAAATACGAAAATGGATTTTTGAATATGTATATTTTGTACAATCGTCGATTGGAACAGACAATCAAAGAGGAAGGAAGAAAGAGAAGAAGAGAGAGCAAAGCAAAAAGAAACGATGCTCAGTGAAGAGGGCATGTGAGCCAACGCCATTTAGTCAAGCGTGAATCGTTTTTATAGTCGAACGAAAATAAATTACAGACATGTGATGAATGAGATAAGAAGTGCACACACACGCTTACATAAAAACAATCGAGGTTGATAGGCGGATAACTGACAAGATCAAAACGTGACTATCGTAACCAATGGTTGGAGACTCATGGTGACATGACTCAGAATCGGTCACAATGGCGTCGGTGTATACACTCTCTGTCTTCCCTTAAACTATGAGATTAAAATTGCTTCATATCTTTCATTCCACGAACTAATTCTTTCTTCCTGTACTATATCCTTATTGCAATCTTTCTTTTATATATTACCACCTCTGAATTAACTACTTTTATGAATCCGGTGTTCATCTTGTTGTGTTAATGAGGTATGGCAACTTGGACTGATGGATATATGTGCCTGGTCCTACTTTGTAGCTGAGTGACTGAATAAATTAATCCAGTACTGTGAATCATTTTTGCCTACTTAGTCACTATCTATTCCAGCCTAATTATGTATACTAAAATAAGTGACACAATTCGGTACTATTTCAGTCAACAAAGAAGTAAGGTGGAGATAACTACACATTCTCTTCGTTGATAGCGATTACTACAGCCAACGCAGCACACCAGAACACTCCACTCGACCTCAAGTTTCTGCACCGAACCGCCTCAACTAGCGCCTCCTATACCGCCTCTCCTCAACTGTATTTTCAGTACTTTAGCCTCTCCGCCTCTTCTTTGACAGTGACGCCAAACGTTATGAGCAAAATTTGTGCGGGGTGACCAATTTATCATTTAGAGCAAAATGACAGAGTAACTTCGTAAAATAAGAAAACTATACATTAAATACACTATTCGTACATCTTTTACATGCTTCATGATTCTTTCAATTCCGTTGTTGTCGTAATTACTCATTGTTTGTATTTATGTTCTCTTCCATTTGGTTTTTTCAATCTTCTGATTCCAGGCATTCTACACCTGATTGATGTTACAATAACTTATATCTGTCAACATAAGCAGCATACACCACATAATTGCATACATCTCTACATAAGCTAGAGTAACTCAGGACCAACATCTGTAACCGTGATACTGGATGATACAAATGCTCATCCTATAATAAATACCAGTTCTGTCAAGATTCTACTTACTAACAATGGCAAATTGACACAAAATACCATGCCAGACCACCTTTCCACATCACATCCAATTATCTAATATTATCTACTCATTGTTTATAATATTAGATAACTCCGCCTGGAACCCCTCTGGGGCTACTGCCGATCCCAAACCCGGATAGAGGAGGAGGGTTGGGCATGGGGTTAGCGACCACATCGCGTAGAAAACCAACTCGCTAAAAAACGCTAACCCGAAAAAAAATTCAAACCATTTAAACTCTGCCCCAGGGAGTCAGGAAGTCTTCATTTAGAATAGTTATGATGACTCATGGTGAGAGCCAACTTCCTTCGGAGGTCACAAGATTGATGCCCAACCAGTGCAACTATTAATTTAAGTACATGGAATACTCGTACAATATGGGAGACTGAGAGAGTCTTCCAAATTGTTGCAGAAAAGTCTACTCACTATTACATTATACTCGAATACAGTAAAATTAATGATCCATAATATTAAACAAAGTAACTTCCTTAATCATTTTCAATGTCAATCACTTTATCTTTTCTCAAAATCATTCTTCATAAATATACGTGCATATGCATATGCTTTGAATGTTTTACATTTTCTCAAGACTTATTTCTCTTCAATAGTTGAATAATTGATTGACATTCTATAAATGCAATATATCCATATATACATAATTGTTATTGTCTGAAACAATTTTAAGATTTATTTAAAAGCATTATCTAATACAATATGTTTCCTTGAATTTTTATCCATTATAAAGTAATTGTTTTTATATAAATAATAAAACAATAGGCGAATATAAAGATAAAAATCAAAATCAGAATAGAAGAATTGGTAATAGGAAGGAAAAGAATGAGTAAACTAGAAGAAGAAGAAGAAGAAGAAGAAGAAGAAGGCGATGGTGACGATGCAGAAGAAGAAGAGGAAATTGTGTAGGATTGTTGATGTAGAGATTAAAACTGTAAATAACTAAACAAATTACGTCATGACAGCCAATAACGACAATATTAACAACAGTACGTCAATAATAATAATAATACTGATTAAATGACATAGAAATGCATCATACAATAGGTTAGGAAGATCAATATAATTTTTCTTTCACATCATTCGTTATATTCTTTTTCACTTTTTTTTCTATGAAACATTATTCATCACTTTAAATACTATTTATTTGTAAGTAGTATTCTAAATAAGAATAATCTGAATTGACCAGTTCTCTAATATAGAAAGAGTTAAAAGGGACAGAATATATGGTGTTTTATTATTATTATTGATAAGTCTTGCAGATTGAACGTTATATTCGTTTCCTAAGCTATTCTCGTAACCCCTAAGCTAGAACTATACAGCGACTGAACACGAGAGAGAAGACTCAAAGTATGCGAGAAGTAGTTTACTCCAAGGTTCATTTTAATACAGAAAATACAGGGTTTTTATAATATTTTAAATGTACTTGGGTTGCTAGAAGATTCTGGAATGCTACTAAACATAGTAGCAGTGTAGCAGCCAGCCAATCAGAACCTTGATATTTTTGGCTAAGACTTCAAGTGAACTCTGATTGGATGAAACGCTTCTTAGTGTTTCCTGATGCATGCTTGTCTTTTGCAATGAATTTTCTGGGTCACCCCAACAATTATTATTATTGCTATTATTATTATTATATCATTAAACCAATTTTTATACTAACTCTACCTGGAGCCCCTCTGGAGCTACTGCCGGTCCCAAGTTCAGATAAAGTAGGAGGGTTGGGCATGGGGTTAACGACCACATCGTGTAGAAAACTAACTCGCTAAAAAAACGCTAACCCGAAAAAAATTATTCAAACCATTTAAACTCTGGAAGTCTTCATTTAGAAGAGTTATGATGCCTCATGGTGAAAGCTGAGTTTCTTCGAAATTCACGAGGTTGATGCCCCTTCTAACAACCGGAGCAACCATTTATTTAGGTACATGGATTACTCGTACAACATGGGAGACTGGGAGAGTCTTCCAAATTGCTGCAGAATTTTTATACTCATTATATCTACTTAATTTAAACGAAAACTCATAAAACTAAGACGCAATTCATTTCATGAATGAATATTAGTTAAAAAGAAGTTGGAAACAGAAAAAAAAACAACCAAAAACAGAACAAACAAAATAGGAGAGTAGAATTAGCTTATTTTTGACCTAATTTAATAATATGTATCAGTGATGATAGACAAATCCATATTGATTGAACATGAATACTTTAAGTGATATCTTGACATGTAAAGTCAAGTGAGTAATTATTGACGATTATTATTATCCATTAAGTAATATGAGGATAAATATGATCTTAAGATTATAACTGACAAGTATTAATGCTATTGTACTTAACCTAATAAGATTAACTAACATTGGATTATTCGGTTGTTTATCGAAACAATTAAATAATAGTAAATATACCTTAATAGATTGAATTTATACCAGTTTGCTTATTGTTATGAACTCTAACTATACATCAACATAAAAAGAAATACACTATTAAGGTGTTCTATAGTGAAACAAAACAGCTGTCTAGTGCTTCCAGGTTCTCAATGATGTTCTAGCTAAGACAGTGATTTAAACTGTAAAAAGTCTACAATTTCCAAAATACCCATAATAATATGTAAATGATAATCCTGAAATTTTTTCTAGCCGATAATAACTACTGACTACGATTTAAAAAACCAAAAACTTTTTTATAGAAAGCCATAAATCATGTATACAATAGTCTCTTAATACAAACTCTACATGAACTGGCATTCAAATACTAAGTTTCATGTAAGTTAATAATGACACCAAATAACCTAATATAAAAGTAGAATCAATACTAACGAGTAATATAATCTTACCTGTGCGAAAATTCACGCCAATATCAATTAGAAATACTGTATCCGATACACAATTGAATACAATCCAATGTATACTTAGATCATCATTAAAGAAAGAGATTGCCACCGGTAGAATGATAAGATTTGCAATTAACAATAATAACATGATTAAATCCCAATAAAATCTAAAAGAAGAAAAAAAACATTTTATCGTACTACATCTTTGATTATTGTAGATATTGTTTCATCAAAATATAATTTATATCAAAGGCCAACCTCAGTTGAAGAAATGTTTAAAACCTAGAAGTATTAAATAGTTCTTTTACCCTATTATGAAACTTCTCAAAAGTACACATTCATAACGTCTTCAAAGAATCAACGGTAACATCACGGACTGACTGAAATCATGTTATCCATTAGTTTGAAGGTAGTCAAACACATATGGAGAAATTCGAACACTTCACTTCTATCTGAAGTTTGTGCTGATGATGTCGTTCAGAAGAAGGATGAAAGCTCTACGACCGAACCATTCAGCTCAGAGAATAAAACTCCACCAAAATGTTCTAGATTAAATGTATTTATTTATTTATTTGATTACATATATATTGGTACAGGAGTGCGCGGAATATATATGCGCCACACAAAACAGTGAGAATCTAAGAAGAAAAAAAAAGTGAGGAACGTAAAAACAAATAATGATAATAAAAACAATAACGAAGAGATTGGTGTAAGGTGATGTAATAATAATCATAGCAATAGTAGGGGAACAGAAAGGTACAATCAGAAGAAATCTTTCAGTTAAGGAAGATACAACCACTTTTTATGAAGAAAGTAAAAGAAGGTTACAACAGGATCGCCACTGGCTTCTATTCTGAGCCATATCTGATAACGTCTCTAGCCACTGTGTAGCCCCATCTCTCAGACCCCAACCAGGGAGTCGTGAAGGACCGACAAAAGCCAGTCCTTTGCAGCTTTCTTTCATACCACGACACCATGTCATATACTGACCACCTCTCCGCTTTTTCCAACTAGTCCCAGAGTCGGTATGGTGGCATTGTGAGTGTGATAAGTCTTATACTAAAGTGAAATATTTAGCCAATGCATTCTAGTTACTAATGATTGTCTCAGTTTATCTCTTTCATGATTTAAACTGTTATTTAGTCAAGTATTACACATTCACTTGTAAATAAATGTTTTAAAGCTGAATAATGTCTGTTATATACAATTCTTCACAATCTTCCTGAATTCATACACCTTTCTAATGATCATGTATATACAATTTTGACTTAAGTAATAATTAAATGAAAATGAAATGCTTAATAAATTTCCAGGTAAAAAGATTTATTATTTACATATTTAAGATAGTCATTAGTCACGTAATCGTTATCAGCAATAAACTAAATTCATCTTAACATTATAGTTTTCTGATCAAATGAATTCTTGTATCTTGATTTATATGTTTCGAAGAAAAAAAGATGAGATTGTTAGGAATTGGAAATAACACTCATAAATGATGTTTACAATACTAATTTATTAATATATAGGTTTATATATTATGACTTAAAATACTAGACAGATTCTAATTACTTACTTACTTACGTCTGTCATTCCTCGTGGAGGAGCATAGGCCACTCAAAAACAATCTTTATCCAACTCTGTCCTGGGCAATCCTTTTTAGTTATTTCTACTTGTTATTCGTCCTTTTCATATCTGATTCTATTTCTCGACGTAATGTGTTTTTTAGACTTCCTCTTTTCCGCTTCCCTTCAGCATTCCAAGTTAGGGATTGCCTGGTGATGCAGTTTGATGATTTCCGTAATGTATGTCCTATCCACAAACTTCATCGTCTTTTCCTCATCTCCTCTCCAGATGGAGGCTGGTTTGTTTTCACCCACAGAAGGCTGTTGATGATAGTATCCGGTCATTGGATGTTGAGTATCTTGCGTAGACAACTATTTATAAATACTTGTACCATCTTGATGAGAGTTGTATTAGTTCTGTACATTTCAGCTCCGTACAGTAGGACTGGCTATCTTGACATCCGTATTGAAGATTGTGACTTTTCGGTTGGTTGAAAGTTGTTTGAGTTCCATATGTTCTTCAATTGTAGGAATGCGGCCTTTGCTTTACCAATCCTCGCCTTTACGCTTGCATCCGATCCTCGTTGTTCATGGATGATGCTTCCCATCTACATGAAAGACTCCACATCTTTCAGAGCGTCTCTATAAAGTGTGATGGTGTTGGTTTTCACCGTGTTGTATTTGAGGATCTTGCATTTTCCTTTGTGTATATTGAGGCCGAACAAATTCTACCTAACTCATAAAACCTTACAGTTAAAACCTAATGTCATGTTTTTTATCATTATTAATTTTTACATTCTTATTGTATAGGATGTATCTTAATAATGTTAAGCATTTATTTATAAGTTAACTTATATATCCATGAATAGAGTGTAAGTATTTGGTGTGTGCTACTTATATTGACATAAGTAGCAAATTATGTTAGTCGGGAACAGAATGTCTGACAGCAGCAGAGAGACAAGAGGATCGAACAGTAAAGAATGAGGACATAATGTAATTTGTATGAAAATGCAAGGACAATGAAGTCTGAGTTATTTTGAGACAATTGGTGGACATTTTGCAAATTAAGCATTTACTTTATGATTGTTAGATTTTATTAGCAAGTCCTGTAATTTTGTGTTAAATACATTCGATTGTCCTCACCCATGTTCTGTTCACTACAAATACTCAAATCTCATGTCACGCTTAACAATAATTTTTTTGGTAGAACACTGAAAATAACTACAGTGCAATCATCAATAATGGATAATCTGATGACAACCAACAATGAAAAAATGGAGCATTTGTTGGAGGTAATGTTTTCAATTTAAAGACAAACGTTAAAATTAACTTACTCTTATGGGCTTAAGAAACGTCATTGACAATACTATTAAATCAACAGGTTCTAATGTACTTTAAAAAAAATGTAATTTACGTACAAAACTCAAAGAAGATTGTCTAGGATAGCTTATTGCATAAATTCAATTTCAAATATGATTTGTTCAAGACTCAGTTGACTTTTTTCTTTTAAAATCTAAGGTCTTTATTTAATATATTCCACCAGATCCCATCAGAGTAAGAAATCAGGAAGAAGAGCTGGAAGTGGATAGGACACACATTGAGGAAAGCACCTAAATGCGTCACAAGACAAGCCCTCACATGGAATCCTCAATGCCAAAGTTGGAGGAGGAGAGGAAGAACAAAGAACACATTACGCCGAGAAATGGAAATAGACATGAGAAAAATGAACAAAAATAGGATAGAACTAGAAAGTAGGCCCAGGACAGAGTGGGTTGGAGATTGCTGGTCGGCATCCTATGCCTTATTAGGAGTAACAGGCGTAAGTATGTAAGTAAGTAATGAAAATATGTTTGTTACAATGTCGAATGTACTTGAATTGTAATTTACTTGACTTGTATCTCCTTTTTTTGGTATTGTACTGATAGAACGCAATGTGAATCTTTGGAAACAATTATCTATATGGAAATTTTCATATTACTTTACGGTGTAGATGAAACATTTTAGCTTCAGATATTTAGTTACTAATAAGTAGTGTATATGTTCAAAAAATCTACATTTTGGTTAGTATTTTTATCAAATATTAGATTACGATGTGAACTTTAATAAAATAAATCCATTTCACGTTTTATTATTGTTTTATCTTCAAGGTATTCACAAGCAAATAATGTGTGTTACTCACTCTCGAGAAGTAAGCATCAACGATCACGCATGTGGGATTCAAGCGGAACGCCCACTCAATCCTTCAAGGTTTTCAGTGGTGGTCTAGCATAATTCGGCTCATGAATTCAACTATTAAAAAGTTTAAATATTCAACAGAAAACATTTTAGCTATTTGACTAGATTAAGCTTAAACGACTGTTTTACTCTTCATGGATGAAGTTGTTCTTCAAAAAATAACCGACTCATTATTTGATCCTAAGAGTAGATAAAACCTGGAGACTAATGGTTAATTATTGTAATTAAAGAAGTGATTATATTCCAGCCCACAAAGACTGTTTTTCAAGTTGAATGTAGTTCTATCTATTTAAAATAAAACTGACTTGATATAGCCAATTAAAAATGTTATACAAGAATGTTCACGACCACATAGTAGGTTCTTTCAATAAATACATGAGCATGACAAATTAAAGTTTAACCCGACTATGTAGTTTAACATCACTTTAGATAATTATACAAAAGGGGTCAAAGAAAACCACTGAAGATTTGAGTTGTAATGAAATAATTTTTGAGCATTAAAATTAGTTTTAGTTCCTAAATTGCTCAAACAATACAAAAACTTGGAAATGAGAACATTTGAAGACTGATATAAAGATTATAATAATTTTCATATTCCTATCTACATTACTAGAGTTCAAAATGACTTTACTAATTATAAATAAAAGAAATTTCTTGAAGCTTTCACATATTGCTAATCTCTATTACAATTAATAAAAAAGAAGTGATAACGTCTCTGATTGTGAAGCTAGGTGACACGGGATAGAATCCGTCAGAAAATATCAGTTCCCTTAAGATTACAGAGACACCCTGCTGACGAGTGCTAAGTAGCACAAAACCTAAGTCTAGACTTTCCTGTTGACTATCTCTGACCACCATCTTAATAAAAAAGAAGATCAAACAATTCATTCAACTTAGGCCATTTATACAAATATCCACAGATTTAATCTTTTTCATATTTCACACCGCTAACAAACACAAATCATTTTAATCTTACTCTTCCATATCACATTTTCCATACTTATTAACACACACGCACAAGTTGATCTCACTCGCAATTACCATAATTTAAATTATATAACATTAACATGATCACATCTATCTTAATTGTAGTTATCCCGTAAATATTCTATATTATTAGCTTTAAGCTATTTAAACTAGTGTTAATTTAACTTATTTATTTAATCTCCGAAAAAATGGCTTACATCTAGTTAAAATACGTCAGAACTTCAATTTTCTACCCATTAGAATTACAAAACTGTAACATCATCCTCATTATTACTGTGGTGCGTGCTACTTATATTGATATAAGTAGTATATATGCGAGTCTGGAATGTAATGTCTGGCAGCAGAAGATGAGGGAAAATCAAGA